ACGTTTATTGCCATAGATCAACTTTCCTATTCTTGAACTTTTCCTATGAATGAAATCATCATGCATCCTTCCCTTTTCTTGTTTTACAGGACATCATTTTCTTTTGAGGTCCATCCATGTGGTGTATCTGTAGTGTGTTCCTTTTCCCTTGCTGTGTAGTATTCTGTTGTATGCATATGCATCAATTGGTTGAATCATCAGCACCCAACAGCTTCTGAATCAACTTCTTTCTCTCCTGACATCTCTGTCTTTCAGTCCTTCAGTGGAAGCTAGCATGTGAGCTCCTGGCAACCAGCTCTGTGTCTGTTTTGTTCACTGTTGTACCCTCAGAGCCCAGGACAGAGTGTGCCATATAGCAGGTGCCCAGTGTGTGTATATGAATGAAGGAAGAAATGAACCAGTGTTCAGAACATGTCATTTTCATTGTGTTCTATTCTAGTCCTGTGTATACTTCACCATTCAAATCACAACTACAGGACTCTCAGGACAATCTCTTTGTCCACAAACTTACATGAATTTCGGGGCCCACTGATCACACTCAAGCTCTCTCTATAAGAGCTTTCCAAACCTCTAGACCAGGCGAGGTCCCTTTACAGCCCCATAATTACCTCTGTCACTCCCATCATGACCCTCATTGCACTTTATTGTCATTGCTGCTCTCATTGGCTGCCCTACCCTCTGACTGCTCTATTTCTTTCCACCTGTATTTCTTTTCACCACTAAATTCTACACTCAGCACTCTGGCCCATGAGAAGCACAGGGTACGTATTGGGTAGGAATTCTTACAGAGGGACTTTCTCTCTGCGAGATTGTTCCTCTCAAGTCCACAACCATTAGACAAAGTCCTTGTGAAGAGAGAGTGGATTTGAGAACATGCCCTCTGCTAAGGATCGAATGTTTGTGCCTGGCCCCCCCCCCCAATTCATCTGTTGATGTTCTAACCCCTCATGTGATTGTACTAGGAAGGGGTGCCTTAGAAAGGTGATGAGGTTTAGATGTGGTCATGGGGGGGTGGAGCCCCCATTATGTGATTAGTGCCATTATGAGAAGAGGAAGAGACTAGAGACCTCTTTCTTCCCACTGTGTGAGGACACAGCAAGAAGACAGCAGTCTGCAAACCCAGAAGAGGGTTCTCACCACAAACTGAATGGCAAGCACCTTGATCGTGGACTCCCAGCCTCCAGAAATGTCTGTTGTTTAATCTGCCCAGTCTGTGGTGTGTGTAATGGCCACCCAAGCTGCTCAGACATCCTCTGTGGATGATTTCTACTTAGGATATAACATTTCATGGGCAGGGGCTTGTCTTCATCCTTTAAATATGTTAGACCACATATTAAATCTATGAATGCGTTTGGTGGACCATGGTCATGGAAAGCTAGACATTTACTTGAGTTTGTCCTGTGGAAATCTTAGCATGTTCATCTTCACCCAAATGTTTGGGGACCTGAGAGCCTGTAAGTACTAGATCTGTGAACTCTTCATCAAGTTCTATCCTCTGACACGACTGGACTCCCATCCTCTAGCTCGTACAACAAAGGGTGCCTGTGGGGTCCCAGAGAAGTGTAAGCTGTTATGGCGTATGGTCTGTCTTCCTTTATTCTCAACATAGACTCTTCAGGGCTTTGTGCATGGGCTTCCTGAGGGTTCGAGGGTTCTGGAAATGATGTGCAAACTCTAGCTATTGTGCATATGTGCATTGTCCTGGGATGGGAGCCTGGAATTTCTTACCGTATTTTCACAAGGCCCCATGCATCCCCCTAAGTTCAGAACCACTGGTGTCAGGTTCCTTTAATGATCCTTCTAGTTAATTCCTGAAGTATCGCTCTCAAGTACAAGAGTAGAGAGGGTGGAGCAGGGATGCTACCTGAGCCCCGAGTTATGATGTCCCACCCCCACTTCTTCTAGCTTTACAGGCCCTGAGCCCTCTCTGGGCCTCAGTTTCCTTTCTGACTCTCGGTGGTTGGATTAGATGGCTTCCTAGGCTTCTTGCACTGTCTGGCTGAACAGTTCATCACAGACAGGGAGGAGAGCTGACACAAATCAGCATGATCTTTCTGTGCATTTTGTGAAAGGGTGGTGTCTACCAAAAAGTTTATTGTGTGTCTTATCCCAGCTTCTGTCTCTTGGAGCCACTAGTACATGTGACTTCTAAAGAATGCCAATCATAATCAATGAATAATGAGAAAAAAGAATAGATACCACAATAACCTGACTGCTTTCTGGTGCCAGGACAGGAAACACTACGATGTTCTCTTGAGAGGACAGAGGAAGAGATGGCTGCATTGGTCCGTTTGCACAGGGACTTGTGAGCCAGTAAGTCATTGGAGATGGAGACATTTATATACTCGAGGGAATGTTTGCAACGATGCTTGCACTGACCATCAGAAATACGTGAAAAGAGACTCAACATTTGGGAAGATTAATGCTTTATTTTCTTTCTGGTGGTCAGCAATTTACTACTAATCTTGAAACTGGAGAGTACAAACCATAGTAGAAAGTCGATGGAAGAGAGTTTAATGTGGCCCCTTGTGCCAGCCCTGAAGTATTGAAGTCGGCTGCTCTGAGTTCTGTCCAGGGTCCATCAGTGAGTAATTCTATTAAAGGGGTTGGGCTGGGTCTTCGCAGAGCTGCAGATATCACCCATGAGGCCTTATTGGAGATGGATAGAAACTCGGGAGAGTTGATCATGGGTCTGTATATTTAAAATGCACAAAGGATGAGCCCAGAAATTATCTGTCTGCCAACTTAACTTCTCTACCTGGAACAAATTATCCAAAAATCAATTTGCAAACACCTTTGAGATAACAAGGCCTTGAGTAATAACCTCCATGGCTTTGTAAAGAAAAGCATCTAGCTTGACTAATCCGCTTAATTTCCTTCTCTGACCAAATGGCAGGCTATAATAGAGGCAATCTGAAGCTGTCCCTTAAGATTTGCTCTGAGCCACTCTGAGAAAATATTGTCCAACTCTGTCTCATAGCAATTATTCTGTTTGCGGAGAATCTTTGTTGTTGGGTAATTAATTAGAAAGAAAACATGGAATGAGTTTTATCTATCCGGGAGCACTCACCTGAGTTCCAAACGGAAGCTCATACCTGCTTCAGTCACCTGAATAACCCAGAGGTTCTCTTAAAGGTCTTGAATCTTGTACTCCACTCCCAAATGCCTCCCCCACCCTCCACTTCCTAAATCTGCTCATTAACTTGCTCATAACCCTTTACAGATAATCCCATTCCTGGAAGTTGGTCCTAAGAAAACATGAGACAAGCAGGACTGGAGTCATTCCCACAAGGATGTTCATTGGAGAATTAGTTACCATAGCAAAACCTAGAGCAACTCATGTGCCCAACAAATGGAGAATAGTTAGTGTGATCACCTGATGGGTTATTTGGTAGCTGTTAAAGACAGGGATGGTAAAATCCAGGTAGTATATATGCAAAGCCCTTAGGATATAATAAGTTGAAGGGAAAACAAATGTACATTGTATCTATGTGTTACTGGAACTGCATGAAAAAAAGTTTACTTATATGAATAGAACTGGAATGGAACATAGAGAAATAAAAAAGGCTATTATGTTGGGTGGTAGGGAAGGGAACACATTTTCTCTTGCTTCTTACTTTCTTTATTGTTGTTCCATGGCTATTTTTTGCAACAAATAAAAAATATATCCCCTTTGATTTTTACAAAATGGGCATCAAGAGGCAAACTGCCTCCCGAGGGGAGAGCTAGTCTCGGAAGGCATGAGGTTGTGGGTTCCATCCTGCCTCTGCTCCATGATCTTGGTTCGGTGACCTGGTCACTTGAGTTCTAAGTTTTTTCCTCCCTATAAAAACAGAGGTGATAATGTCTCAAGAACTATGCAAAGTAAGGCATGTGAAGTTTCTTGGCCAATAAGAAGTACAAAACAAACGTTGATTTCTGTAGCTTTGCCGGTGGGAGGCCACTACAAAGGCATGCTGAAAGCCTGGTCTCTTTAGCTGAAGATACATACAGTGGCAACAGGTCACAAATCCTATATAATAAAAGCCTAATATGCAAATAGACCTAACAGCGGAACGACCGGTGGAATGACTGGTTGCTATGACGCACACTGACCGCCAGGGAACAGACACTCAATGCAGGAGCTGCCCCCAGCCCGCAGGCCCCAGGCCAGCCAAGTGGGGGCCCCCCGATCACCCTGCTGGTCGCCCCATAATCGGCCCTGATCACTGGCCAGGCCTAGGGACCCTACCTGTGCACGAATTTCGTGCACCGGGCCTCTAGAACAGTATAACTTGGCATGACTCTTCCCTTGACCCTTGATTCCCACCGGGGCCACTGTGGCCAGTGGCTCTGTCCTTGCTGGAGGAACCTGCTGGGATCGAGGGAGAAGCTGATGCTTGCTGTGCCATCATCCTTTCACTACTGAAGCTCAAGTCACTCTCAGGGAGAACTTCCACTAGGAATCTCTGTGTTCCTGTAAAAGAAATGTGTGTAAACCTCAGACAACCCTGGGTTTTGAACCAAACTCTGCTTCAGTAAAGGCAGGCTCTCATTTGAGGATAAAGGCAGGCTCTCATTTGAGGATTGAAAGCGGAATATTAACCCAGATGGCTTTGCTGTCTTCTGGAAAGACCCTTCCCTCACAAGCGCCCTCTCCCTTTTCTTAAGTGAAAGAGCTAGGGGAGGTATGACATGTAGTTAGTGAAGAAATACTGATTCAGGTACTTACATACAAAAAAGTGAAAATCATAGTAAGCCCGAGATTCTGTCTCTATATCCCTGAGATGTCCCACCTCTGAATGCAACTCAAGAAATGAAAAGAACTCAGTGTTTACTTTTTTTTTTTTTGCAAATCACATTATTTCTATTATCTCATTCCCCCCTCTAACTATTCAATGGGGTTAAAGAGGGATTTGGGCTGTTTTATGGCTCTGTCTGGAATCCTGTCCCTCACGTGCTTGGGTTTTGTTCTGTAACCATGAGAGTCTTATGTCCTTTTCTGACCATTTGTCTTTCAGAGCCTCCCACACCTATTGCCCCCCCAGAGCTGCTGGCTGTGGGGGCCACGTACCTATGGATCAAGCCGAACGCCAACTCCATCATCGGGGACGGCCCCATCATCCTGAAGGAGGTGGAGTACCGCACCACCACGGGCACCTGGGCCGAGACCCACATCGTGGACTCACCCAACTATAAGCTGTGGCACCTGGACCCGGATGTGGAGTATGAGATCCGGGTTCTACTCACAAGACCAGGAGAGGGGGGCACAGGGCCCCCGGGGCCTCCGCTCACCACCAGGACCAAGTGTGCAGGTAAGAGCCTCCGTCCTGGCTTCATTTGGGAGGCTGGGCAGATCTTCCTCTGTGACAGTCACACCTAAACTTCTCGGTGTGAGCCTGCGTCCTGTTGGGGAGAAAAACAGTCAGGGTGTTGGTGTAGCCTCAGAGGACCTCCTGGCTTTGGTGACATCTGTGCAGACCTCCTGGCTCTGACAGACTCTGGCTGTGTCCGGTTCTGACAGTGTTGCCAGTGGGAGGCTAGTTTGAGCATCACTGTCCGAGGCCTCCTGTCGTCGTGTCTCTGAGGGCTCTGGGCTCTGACCGTGACCCCTGAAGGTCTCATTTGGACTTTATCTCTGAGTGCCGATCACCCTGCTGGTCGCCCCATAATCGGCCCTGATCACTGGCCAGGCCTAGGGCCCCTCCCTGTGCACGAATTTCGTGCACCGGGCCTCTAGAACAGTATAACTTGGCATGACTCTTCCCTTGACCCTTGATTCCCACCGGGGCCACTGTGGCCAGTGGCTCTGTCCTTGCTGGAGGAACCTGCTGGGATCGAGGGAGAAGCTGATGCTTGCTGTGCCGTCATCCTTTCACTACTGAAGCTCAAGTCACTCTCAGGGAGAACTTCCACTAGGAATCTCTGTGTTCCTGTAAAAGAAATGTGTGTAAACCTCAGACAACCCTGGGTTTTGAACCAAACTCTGCTTCAGTAAAGGCAGGCTCTCATTTGAGGATAAAGGCAGGCTCTCATTTGAGGATTGAAAGCGGAATATTAACCCAGATGGCTTTGCTGTCTTCTGGAAAGACCCTTCCCTCACAAGCGCCCTCTCCCTTTTCTTAAGTGAAAGAGCTAGGGGAGGTATGACATGTAGTTAGTGAAGAAATACTGATTCAGGTACTTACATACAAAAAAGTGAAAATCATAGTAAGCCCGAGATTCTGTCTCTATATCCCTGAGATGTCCCACCTCTGAATGCAACTCAAGAAATGAAAAGAACTCAGTGTTTACTTTTTTTTTTTTTGCAAATCACATTATTTCTATTATCTCATTCCCCCCTCTAACTATTCAATGGGGTTAAAGAGGGATTTGGGCTGTTTTATGGCTCTGTCTGGAATCCTGTCCCTCACGTGCTTGGGTTTTGTTCTGTAACCATGAGAGTCTTATGTCCTTTTCTGACCATTTGTCTTTCAGAGCCTCCCACACCTATTGCCCCCCCAGAGCTGCTGGCTGTGGGGGCCACGTACCTATGGATCAAGCCGAACGCCAACTCCATCATCGGGGACGGCCCCATCATCCTGAAGGAGGTGGAGTACCGCACCACCACGGGCACCTGGGCCGAGACCCACATCGTGGACTCACCCAACTATAAGCTGTGGCACCTGGACCCGGATGTGGAGTATGAGATCCGGGTTCTACTCACAAGACCAGGAGAGGGGGGCACAGGGCCCCCGGGGCCTCCGCTCACCACCAGGACCAAGTGTGCAGGTAAGAGCCTCCGTCCTGGCTTCATTTGGGAGGCTGGGCAGATCTTCCTCTGTGACAGTCACACCTAAACTTCTCGGTGTGAGCCTGCGTCCTGTTGGGGAGAAAAACAGTCAGGGTGTTGGTGTAGCCTCAGAGGACCTCCTGGCTTTGGTGACATCTGTGCAGACCTCCTGGCTCTGACAGACTCTGGCTGTGTCCGGTTCTGACAGTGTTGCCAGTGGGAGGCTAGTTTGAGCATCACTGTCCGAGGCCTCCTGTCGTCGTGTCTCTGAGGGCTCCGGGCTCTGGCCGTGACCCCTGAAGGTCTCATTTGGACTTTATCTCTGAGTGCTTCCAGTTCCTGTTGTGTTTCTGATGGAAGCTGTGTCCCTGAGGATCCCTGGGCTGGGCCTCTGACCCTAATGAGTTCTTGATTTTGACCATTCATCTGGGGGTCCCTGGCTCCATGTTCCCGGGGGTCCTTGGCTCCACCTGTTTCTCTGAGGTTCCTGCATGCTGCTTACCAGTGTGCTGGCTGGGGCTGTGTCTTGGGGAAGGACCTTTTGGATCCAGCTGTGTCCCTGAGGGCTCCGGGCCACTCTGCTGTTTCTAATAAGGGGTGTTGGCCGAGATTCTGTCTCTAACTATATCCCTGAGATGTCACAGCTCTGAATGCAACTCAAGAAATTAAAAGAACTCAGCGTTTAATTTTTTTTTTGGCAAATCACATTATTTCTATTATCTCATTTCCCCCTCTAACTATTCAATATAAGTATTTTTATCTCATATATATGAGAATGAATAGAGACTCAGTATTTTTAAACTTTGTGTTCCAAGTTATAGAATTGGCCAGTGGCAGCCAGGATTTGCACCTGACTCCAATGCCCTTGGTCATTGGTTGCAGCATGGTGAATAAGCAGAGAGGTTTGGGCCAACTGTGAGGTACAAACAGTTGGGGGTGTTTCTGGGGGGGCGGGCAGGGAAGCCATGGCACGGGCTGCTGGTTTCCAAGGGAAAAGGCGTCACTGTTGGCTTCAGGGTGGGGAGAGAAAGACATGCCAGCACAGTGCCTACCATGGAACAAAAAGCCAAGTAAAACAGTCCATTCTGCTACAGTGTGACATGTGTGTTCTTAAAAACCATTGCACTGTGCAAAGCCGTGCAATAAAAATAAATGGGCTTGTGAGGCACATGGGCTGCTGGCTTCCAAGGGAAAAGGCGTCACTGTTGGCTTCGGGGCAGGGAGAGAAAGACATGCCAGCACAGTGCCTACCATGGAACAAAAAGCCAAGTAAAACAGTCCATTCTGCTACAGTGTGACATGTGTGTTCTTAAAAATCATTGCACTGTGCAAAGCCGTGCAATAAAAATAAATGGGCTTGTGAGGCATGACACACGTACTTGTCATCAGTGTCACCTCAAAAAAAAGAGAGAAACCTAGTAAAACTGGTGGCACAATTTTACACACGTTAATGGCCAGGGTATGCATAAAAACTGCAGCACATGTGGGGTGTTAGCTTGGAAAGTCCTGACATTTGCTTGTGGAAGTGGGCGTGAGAAAGGTTGCAGCCTGAAAGGCAATGTGAAATGGTGAGGAGGGCGTCTGAAAGTGCTGGAGCGTGATACACCAGGTGCGGCTGGATGTGGCTCATCACACCGGCGGCGAGCTGAGGGAGCGGGGAGATGCTGCAGGTGGGTGCTCTGTGTGGATTCCTATGCGGCTCAGTTCAGTTGGGTAGTTTTCCGCTTCACTCATGTGTCTGCATACAAATGTGAAATTTGCGTTATCCTCAAATTGTTTCCTAATGTGTCAGTCATGACGGAACACATCCACATTGCCAAGATAAGAGTTCCAGAGGAGTTGACTAGAACCATTCTAAAGTATCTCAGTCGTGTATCTTGGCTCTATGTAACCCAAAGTTAATATTGCCATTGCTTGGGAATATTCCTTTGAAAGTTATTGAACCACTGTGATGAATGGAAGTGCCGTTTTCTTGATTATTTTTCAAAACGGGAATGCAACTCAAGAAATTAAAAGAACTCAGTGTTTAATTTTTTTTTTGGCAAATCACATTATTTCTATTATCTCATTTCCCCCTCTAACTATTCAATATAAGTATTTTTATCTCATATATATGAGAATGAATAGAGACTCAGTATTTTTAAACTTTGTGTTCCAAGTTATAGAATTGGCCAGTGGCAGCCAGGATTTGCACCTGACTCCAATGCCCTTGGTCATTGGTTGCAGCATGGTGAATAAGCAGAGAGGTTTGGGCCAACTGTGAGGTACAAACAGTTGGGGGTGTTTCTGGGGGGGCGGGCAGGGAAGCCATGGCACGGGCTGCTGGTTTCCAAGGGAAAAGGCGTCACTGTTGGCTTCAGGGTGGGGAGAGAAAGACATGCCAGCACAGTGCCTACCATGGAACAAAAAGCCAAGTAAAACAGTCCATTCTGCTACAGTGTGACATGTGTGTTCTTAAAAATCATTGCACTGTGCAAAGCCGTGCAATAAAAATAAATGGGCTTGTGAGGCATGACACACGTACTTGTCATCAGTGTCACCTCAAAAAAAAGAGAGAAACCTAGTAAAACTGGTGGCACAATTTTACACACGTTAATGGCCAGGGTATGCATAAAAACTGCAGCACATGTGGGGTGTTAGCTTGGAAAGTCCTGACATTTGCTTGTGGAAGTGGGCGTGAGAAAGGTTGCAGCCTGAAAGGCAATGTGAAATGGTGAGGAGGGCGTCTGAAAGTGCTGGAGCGTGATACACCAGGTGCGGCTGGATGTGGCTCATCACACCGGCGGCGAGCTGAGGGAGCGGGGAGATGCTGCAGGTGGGTGCTCTGTGTGGATTCCTATGCGGCTCAGTTCAGTTGGGTAGTTTTCCGCTTCACTCATGTGTCTGCATACAAATGTGAAATTTGCGTTATCCTCAAATTGTTTCCTAATGTGTCAGTCATGACGGAACACATCCACATTGCCAAGATAAGAGTTCCAGAGGAGTTGACTAGAACCATTCTAAAGTATCTCAGTCGTGTATCTTGGCTCTATGTAACCCAAAGTTAATATTGCCATTGCTTGGGAATATTCCTTTGAATGTTATTGAACCACTGTGATGAATGGAAGTGCCGTTTTCTTGATTATTTTCAAAACTGGGCCTTTGGTAAAATTCCTCATTGAAACCTGATTATGAAACTTACTACTTTGAAAGGACATGGGATATGTTATTAAATCAGGTAATGCCTTATCTCAGCTTTGCAATTCAATATCCATCCATAAAAATAATTGATTCTATCCTGTCGGTGAGACTTGCCTCTTTCCACAGGGTAAATCTAAGGGTTTCCAAGGTTTTCGATCTTTATAAATGATATTCAAAGTACTGTTAGGAGCCCCCATGGACTTATTGCTGATGATCATATAATACAGTTTGAAATTCAATCGCAAGATGATCATCTCAATAAAAATTTACGATCTACTGAAAATTGTTGCCATGACCGTGCAATGGATTTTGCATGTTAAAAACACAATTGTCTGACTATCACTATAAAAATTATGAGTTGAAATGCTGTTTATAGCTTTATATTTAAAAAAAATGTTGCTTAAGTAAGTTATGACTAAAATCTTCAATAACCCACATTTTCTAAAATGTGTCATTAAGAAGATAATCTTTCCCACAGTTCCACTGATGGTAGAATGTTCTTTGCCTCGTAATTAATTTTTAAGAGAATTCCAAGGTTGATATTCATTTATGGGTTAGTAGTCTGAGTCCTCCTACCCTTTCCCCATTCATTATTAATAGCACTGAAAACATACTCTTTTTTTTTTTCAAAATAGAAAATGAGAGAGTGTGGAGGATGGAAGGTATAATTTCTGCCCAGAGGAATTTACAGGCTGGGTTTCGATTCCAACAAAACAGCATAAAGGGTAAAACATAAACATAAAGTCAAGTATTGAAATACCAAACTTCATGGAGGAAAACAAGGCTGGTGTGGAAAGAGCAATGCTCTTAGAATGATCTGGAGCAGTGGTTTTCAAAGTGTGGTCCCCAGACCCCCTGCATTGGCACCCCTGGGAATGTGTTAGAAAGGCAAATTCTCAGGCCCCACCCCCCTGACCTAATGATTCAGAAATTCTTAGATTGGGGCCCAGAGATCTATGCTCTAAGGAGTCCTCTGGGTGATGCTGATACACACCCACATTTAAGAAATACTCATAGACTGTGACACACCAACACACCACTTTCAGAATGCCCATTTTAATGCTTGATCCTTGAGGCATCGGTGAGAGGTAGATAGGAGGAAAACTTAGGCTAAGAGTGATCAAACCAAGGTTACAAATCAATTCAGAGCTTAGAGCTAAATCTCTTGACCTGAGGAACCCCCCAGTATGTGGACTGATGGAGCTTCCTCTGCAAGTGTCCGCTTGCGTGTGGGATTGGGTGATAGGAAGACTGGTCACTGTGGAGACCAGCTGAGAATGAATGGCTGCCATGCCTGTCGCAGTAGTCCTTTTCACCAGACATCTACTGAGTCACTTCCATGTGCCAGACTCTGTACTAGGCACTGGGGTCAGAGGCTGGCCTAGGAAGGACATGCTAAAAGTAGGCAGAGGCTCATAGCAAAAATGTACAAGTTCAGGTATAGCTCAGTAAGATACCAGAGGGCCCAGTCAGCAAGGGCAGGTGGGGATGTATTATGTGTATTCCTATGTGGCTCAGTTCAGATGGGTACAGTTTTCCGCTTCACTCATGTGTCTGCATACAAATGTGAAATTCGTGTTATGCTCAAATTGTTTCCTAATATGTCAGTCATGATGGAACACATCCACATGACAGGGCACTGAGCAGGTACACCATCAGGGCGCTGGCAAGGTCCACCCCTTAAGCATAGATATCATCAATAAGAGTTTGGTGGAGCCATTTTCTGAGGTGGAAAACACAAAAGATGGGCTGGGGAAAGGCAGTGGGTTTAGGTCCGCATACCTTGTGTGTGAGGTGAAGATGTACAACTGGTGATGCT